ATCTGCTCTCAAAATAAATGGTCAAATACCTTTCACAGTTTCGCAAAACCACCCAAAAGTTGCCACGTTGTCCGCCTCGGCCGGCTGGGCCAACTGGGCGCCGGCGGTAAACCGTCAACCTTTGTCACCGCCGGGGGACTCGTAGAGCTTCCTGACAACATATAATGTCGAAAAGAATTACAGAAAAAATAATTGTTCAGCCGAAGGTTTGGCGAACCTAGCTCGAGTATCAGACCGAGTTCAGACCTCTGCATGCGACAGGCGGACGCGTCTGATATCTCTGGATCGATTCCTGTGATAACCAGCCCTGCAGCCCCCCCTACAGCCCTAGTTAACTGCGGGAAACCGACAGCACCTCTCAGGAGGACTCGAACAATACGAATAGTTTTGCGGACCCAGTTGGGGCAGCAGACAGAGTTCGGAGCTCTGGATTCGAGAGGCGGACGCGCCTGATGTCTCCAAATCGATCCCAGTGATTACCAGCCATGCAGCCCCCCTACAGCCCGAGTTAAGCGCAGAGAACCGACAGCATCTCTCAGGAAAACTCGAACAATACGAACAGTTTCGCGATTCTAGATCGGGCAGCATACCGAATTCAGAGCTCTGGATTGGACAGACAACGGTCACTGATGATTCTGAATCAGATTCTGTACGCATCAGCTCTGTAGCTGTCCTGTAGCTCGAGTTAAGTACAGAAAACCGAGAGCGTCTGTCAAGGTGACTCGAATAATACGAACAGGCGTGCGGACCTAGCTCGGCTAGCAGACCGATTTCAGACTTCTGGGTTCAACAGGCGAACGCGCCTCCTCATTCTGAATCGGTTAGCTGTGCTTACCAGCTCTGTAGCTAACCTGAAGCTCGAGTCATCTTGAGAAAACTGACAACGCGTATCAAGATAACTCGAAACGGCCGATCCCGCCCGTGTGCTTTTTGGCAGTAAAAGGTACCCGATCGAGCTGAGATCAAGATGGCGAGCGGGAATAAGATCGAATATCACGGGAAAAAATACTAGAGCTCTAACGAATCGTTGAATTTCGAGAACAACATTTTCAACCGACCAAAAGTCACCGAAAGGTCCGTCGAGATTTGTCTTGCCAACTGGGCGCCGGCGGTAAACCGTCAACCTTCCTCACCGCCGGGGAGCTCGTAGAGCTTCCTGAGCATATATAATGTCGAAAAAGTTGCAGAGAACGAATAGTTTTTCAGCCAAAACGATTTCAGACCTCTCGATGCAACAGCCAAACGCCCCTCATGCTTCTGGATCGTTTTCTGTGCGCACGAGCTCTGTAGCTCTCGCACAGCCCGAGTTACGTGCGAAAATCGACAGCAGCTCTCAAGATCACTCGAACAATACAAATAGTTTCGCGAATCTAGCTCGAGTATTCAGACATCTGAATGCAACAGGCGGAGCCGCCTGATATCTCCGAACCGATTCCTGTGATTACCAGCCCTGCAGCCCCCTTACAGCCCGAGTTAAGTGCAGAATATCGACAGCACATCTGAAGATGACTCGAACAATACGAATAGTTTCGCGGACCTAGCTCGGGCAGCAGACCGAGTTCGCGACAGATGGACGCAATTGATGTCTCCTAATCGATTCCAGTGATTACCAGCACTGCAGCCCCCTGACAGCTCGAGTTTTGTGCAGAAAACGGACAGCACCCCTCAAGATGACTCGACGAATACGAATAGTTTTGCGAACCTAGCTTGGGCAGCGCGCCGAGTTCCGAGCTCTGGATTCGGCAGGCAGGCGCGCCTGATGTCTCCGAATCGATTCCTGTGAGCACGAGCCCTGTAGCCCCCCTACAGCCCGCGTTAAGTGCAGACACCTGCCGGCACCTCTCAAGATGACTGCAACAACACAAATATTTTCGCGAACCTAGCTCGGGCAGCAGAGCGAGTTCAGACCTCTAGATGGAACAGACGAACGCGCCTGATGATCCGCAATCGATTTCTGTCAGATTGAGCTCTGTAGCTGCCCTACCGCTCGAGTTAAGTACAACATACCGACAACGCGCATCAAGATGACTCGAAACAGCCCATCCCGCCGCGATGCTTTTTTGCAGAAATATTTACCCGATCGAGCTGAGATCAAGATGGCGAGCGGGAATAAGATCGAATATGGTCAGAAAAAAATACTAGAGCTCAAACGAATTGCTGAATTTCGAGAACAAAATTTTCAACCGACCAAAAGTCAGCAAAAGGTCCGTCGAGATTTTTCTTGCCAACTAGCTCTCCAGCGCGCCGGAATTACTCTTAAGCTTCCAGCAACTATCTAAGGGAAGCTCTACGAGTTACTAGCTCTCCAGCGCACCGGAATTACTCTTAAGCTTCCAGCAAGAACTTGCTAAGGGAAGCTCTACGAGTTACTAGCTCCACCCCGCGCCGGAATTCCTCTAGCTCATCGATGCCGAAGAGCTCTACGAGGTACTGGCGCCGGCGGTGAACCGTCAACCTGGCCACCGCCGGGAACCTCGTAGAGCTCCTTTCACGCGTAAGAGTGCTCAGTGTCGAAAGAGAGAGCTTCTGGAAGCATTTCTCCAAAACGGCAAAAATTGACTGTTTTCGTCTCGAAATGAAGATGGTTCCGCCAAGTGTTTTGATAGTAAAAGTGCGCCTACAGAGCTCATATTAAGACAGAGAGGCCCTCATAGTCGTTTACAGGTGCGAAAAATCTGCTTTCTCAAAATGATTTGTCAAATATCTTTCATATATTCGCAAAACCACCCAAAAGTTATCACTTTGTCCTTTCTGGCCGGGTCGACCAACTAGCTGCACCCCGCGCTGGAATTCCTCTAGCTCATCGATGCCGAAGAGCTCTACGAGGTATTACTCTTAAGCTTCCGGCAATAACTTGCTAAGGGAACCTCTACGAGTTATTACACTAAAGCTTCCAGCAATAACTTTCTAAGGGAAGCTCTACGAGTTACTAAGAACCGGCGGTAAACCTTCTGAAGCGCTGCCAGGCGCGTTTCCAGGCGTGCCTGCACGCGTGCCGGCACGCGTGGAGGCGTGCCGGAAACGCTCCCGGACCCGCTGCGACCCCACACGAACCCCTGCGGGGATTCTGGAGCGGCGAAGATGGGCTGCTGGCAGGCACCACCACCGTCCGGCTTCTACTCTGAAACCCTATAGCTCTCAGAGAGCTCTCCGGGAAAAACCGGGAGAGCGAAGAGAGCCTAAGGAACCAGAAACCCCCCCTGGGGAGTTCTTGGGGGCGCCCCTGCAGCCCTTCTGAAGAACTGCCAGGAACGCTTCCACGCGACCCTGCACGCGCGCAGGCACGCGTGGAAGCTTGCCAGAAGCTCTCCCGGACCAGCTGCCGGCTCAGACGAACTGCTGCGAGGATTCTGGAGCGGCGGAGATGGGCTGCTGGCGGGCACCACCACCGCCGGGCTTCTAATCTTAAACCCTCTAGCTCTCAGAGAGCTCGCCTTTCAAATCTTTGCAAAACCGACCCAAAGTCACCACTTTGTCTCTTAAGGCCGGGTCGACCTCTTAGCTCCAGCCCGCGCTGGAATTCCTCTAGCTCATCGATGCCGAAGAGCTCTACGAGGTACACACTGGAAAGATTTCCCGGCGAGCCTGCAAACGCTCTCGTAAAGCTCTTCCGGAGCTCCGGGGGGCTTCCCTGCAGCGCTTCTGAGGCGCTGGCAGGAACCCTTCCACGCGTTCCTGCAGGCGTGCAGGCACGCGTCGACGCTTGCCGGAAGCGCTCCCGGACACGCTGCCGGGCCGGGGGAGGCGCTGCGGGGATCGTGGACCGGCGGAGATGGGCTGCTGGCAGGCACCACCACCGTCCAGCTTCTAATCTAAAACCCTCTAGCTCTCAGAGAGCTCTCCGGGAACAGAAGGGAACGTGGAGCGGTGGGCGGAGGGGAGCGGCGGCGCACGCGCACCCGCCGGCTTTTTTTCCTGACAACCTTATCTAGCCCAAGAGGCTATCCGGGAACCTCTGGGACAGGACATCTTTCCTGGAGAGCTCCGGGGAGCTCCCCAGAAGCGCTTCTGATGCGTTGCCAGGAGCGCATTCACGCGTGCCTGCGCGCGTGCAGGTTCGCGTGGACGCGTCCTGGAAGCGCCCCCGAACCCGCTGCCGGTCCAGGCGAACGGCTGCGGGGATTCTGGACCGGCGGAGATGGGCTGCTGACGGGCTTCACCACTGTCCGGCTTGTAATCAAAAACCTTCTAGCTCTCAGAGAGCTCTCCGGGAATAAATGGTGAAATATCTATCACTTAGTAGCGTCCAAAACTGGCGCCAGCGGTGAACCGTCAACCTGGTCACTGTCGGGAACCTCGTAGAGCTTCTCTCACGCGTAAGAGTGCTCTTCGCAGTCCAGAGCGGGTAAAAGGCTTGTGGGAGACGCTTGCAGGGACGCTCGAAAGCATGCCTGGGGAGCTTGCAAACATCAGTGCATCAGAAAATGCCTGTGGGAGACGCTTGCCACGACGCTGGAAAACATGCCTGGGGAGCTTGCAAGCTTCGAAAAGCAAGCTGTGAAGGAGCTTCGAGGGAGCTGCGAAGGACCTCCGAAAAGGCTTCAGGCACGCGTATTGGGAACGAGTAGGAAAACGCTTCTCGGGACACGCTGCGAGATCAAGCGAAGCGCTGCGAGGATGCCTGCCCGGGAGCCTTGGAGAGGAGCTGGCGTAGCCCTGCCTGCCAGATTCTAATCTGACACCATCTTAGCTCTCCAAGGAGCCATCCGGGAATCTATAACGCGTCGCAACATCGACGGGCCCATCCGAAACGAGGACACGCTTGGGGTGGCCATGTTCTTCCGTGTGCTAAGCCGATGTGGGAAACCGACGTATTGCAAGCCCCATGGGACCTGTATAAAGCCATGCGTCATGCGCCAGCAGCGTGGGAAACTAGGGGAACGAAAAATTGCATAAACACAGAGGTCCGCGCGGACCTCCGAGTTTCATGTTTATGTCATTTCTCGTTCCCCTAGAGGCGGAGGGGGGGAAACACAACGACGGCAACGAGCCGACCGCAGCAGAGAAGGCCCGGCAGAGACGGCGCGGGGCCCGGCAGAGACGGCGCCGTCGACAGGCGCCATCGACCGGCCGCACGGGCGGGAGGCGCTCCACCCGCGCTCCGGCCTCCCCCGAGAGCACGGACTCTCGTCGCCCGAACTCGGGATCCAGGCGGACATCAGCACAGCCCCCAATGGGAGGCGCACGTCCGAAGCAATCCGGCAGCACTGACACATGATAGCATACCGGCTCCCGAGCGGTATGGTCAGACAGCGCCCGCAATATACAGCTTCTACTGACGCACACATAGTATCAGTATGTTCGGGTGGTGTCGAGCACTCCCCCTGCCCTGCGTGCCTTGAGCCAACTCGCGCCATGCTTTGGCCTTTGAGTCGGACGCCACTGGAGAAGGCGGAAGGCGACCTCTCAGAGAGTTGCAGAGGCAGCCCAAGCGGCCTTACGCTGCCCCTACGGCGTGAGCGCCCCGACTGATCACTCGACCCTCGCTCAAATCCACAGCAGCGAGGCTTGCGCAGCACTCGGAGGCATAATGAGAAACGTGGACGCCACTGGCCCTGCCTACCACAAGCCTTCATGCCAAGCTGATGGTGATCAGACTACCGATAATATGCTTGAATGATGCAAACTGTCTTCATTTTACATTGCGCAGTCAAGTATCCATTAGCGAGATTCATGAAACAAATGCTAAACTCCTGCATGCCTGCCTCAACCAAGTCTGCTCGAGGCTGACTGAATCCCGACTTCGCTTTGATGACAGCTTCTTTCCCACAGTAACTTGAAAGATCCCGATCGATCGCCCTCTTCAGAAGGGAATGGAAGAAAATCCTTCATTGATTATCAGTATAAGGATCAAAAACTCAAAATTATATAAAAAAAAAAAAAAAAAAAAAAAAAAAAAAAAAAAAAAAAAAAAAAAAAAAAAAAAAAAAAAAAAAAAAAAAAAAAAAAAAAACACAAAAATCATGATAACTAATATTATGTGCTTGCTTATGTATATAACATATATGCACAATCCTGCGTTCTGGGCCCTCGTCGCGAATGTTCCCTGCTAGGCTTTGCGCCAGTGTCGTGGATAGCGGCCGAGCTGAGAGACCACCCCCTGCGCACCCCCTGTGGTGTCGAGAAAGTGCCACGCCTGCTAGCCTTTGCGCCAGTGTCGTGGATAGCGGCCGAGCTGAGAGACCACCCCCTGCGCACCCCCTGTGGTGTCGAGAAAGTGCCACGCCTGCTAGGCGTTGCGACAGTGTCGTGGATAGCGGCCGAGCTGAGAGACCACCCCCTGCGCACCCCCTGTGGTGTCGAGAAAGTGCCACGGCTGCAAAGCTTTGCGCCAGTGTCGTGGATAGCGGCTGAGCTGAGAGACCACTTCCTGCGCACCCCCTGTGGTGTCGAGAAAGTGCCACGCCTGCTAGGCTTTGCGCCAGTGTCGTGGATGGCGGCCGAGCTGAGAGACCACCCTCTGCGCACCCCCTGTGGTGTCGAGAAAGTGCCACGCCTGCTAGGCTTTGCGCCAGTGTCGTGGATAGCGGCCGAGCTGAGAGACCACCCCCTGCGCACCCCCTGTGGTGTCGAGAAAGTGCCACGCCTGCTAGGCTTTGCGCCAGTGTCGTGGATAGCGGCCGAGCTGAGAGACCACCCCCTGCGCACCCCCTGTGGTGTCGAGAAAGTGCCACGCCTGCTAGGCTTTGCGCCAGTGTCGTGGATAGCGGCCGAGCTGAGAGACCACCCCCTGCGCACCCCCTGTGGTGTCGAGAAAGTGCCACGCCTGCTAGGCTTTGCGCCAGTGTCGTGGATAGCGGCCGAGCTGAGAGACCACCCCCTGCGCACCCCCTGTGGTGTCGAGAAAGTGCCACGCCTGCTAGGCTTTGCGCCAGTGTCGTGGATAGCGGCCGAGCTGAGAGACCACCCCCTGCGCACCCCCTGTGGTGTCGAGAAAGTGCCACGCCTGCTAGGCTTTGCGCCAGTGTCGTGGATAGCGGCCGAGCTGAGAGACCACCCCCTGCGCACCCCCTGTGGTGTCGAGAAAGTGCCACGCCTGCTAGGCTTTGCGCCAGTGTCGTGGATAGCGACCGAGCTGAGAGACCACCCCCTGCGCACCCCCTGTGGTGTCGAGAAAGTGCCACGCCTGCTAGGCTTTGCGCCAGTGTCGTGGATAGCGGCCGAGCTGAGAGACCACCCCCTGCGCACCCCCTGTGGTGTCGAGAAAGTGCCACGCCTGCTAGGCTTTGCGCCAGTGTCGTGGATAGCGACCGAGCTGAGAGACCACCCCCTGCGCACCCCCTGTGGTGTCGAGAAGTGCCACGCCTGCTAGGCTTTGCGCCAGTGTCGTGGATAGCGGCCGAGCTGAGAGACCACCCCCTGCCCACCCCCTGTGGTGTCGAGAAAGTGCCACGCCTGCTAGGCTTTGCGCCAGTGTCGTGGATAGCGGCCGAGCTGAGAGACCACCCCCTGCGCACCCCCTGTGGTGTCGCGAAAGTGCCACGCCTGCTAGGCTTTGCGCCAGTGTCGTGGATAGCGGCCGAGCTGAGAGACCACCCCCTGCCCACCCCCTGTGGTGTCGAGAAAGTGCCACGCCTGCTAGGCTTTGCGACAGTGTCGTGGATAGCGGCCGAGCTGAGAGACCACCCCCTGCGCACCCCCTGTGGTGTCGAGAAAGTGCCACGCCTGCTAGGCTTTGGCCGAGCTGAGAGACCACCCCCTGTGTGGTGTCGAGAAAGTGCCACGATGCTAGCTTTGCGCAGTGTCGTGGATAGCGGCCGAGCTGAGAGACCACCCCCTGCGCACCCCCTGTGGTGTCGAGAAAGTGCCACGCCTGCTAGGCTTTGCGCCAGTGTCGTGGATAGCGGCCGAGCTGAGAGACCACCCCCTGCGCACCCCCTGTGGTGTCGAGAAAGTGCCAGCTAGGCTTTGCGCCAGTGTCGTGGATAGCGGCCGAGCTGAGAGACCACCCCCTGCGCACCCCCTGTGGTGTCGAGAAAGTGCCACGCCTGCTAGGCTTTGCGCCAGTGTCGTGGATAGCGGCCGAGCTGAGAGACCACCCCCTGCGCACCTGGTGTCGAGAAAGTGCCACGCCTGCTAGCCTTTGCGCCAGTGTCGTGGATAGCGGCCGAGCTGAGAGACCACCCCCTGCGCACCCCCTGTGGTGTCGAGAAAGTGCCACGCCTGCTAGGCTTTGCGCCAGTGTCGTGGATAGCGGCCGAGCTGAGAGACCACCCCCTGCCCACCCCCTGTGGTGTCGAGAAAGTGCCACGCCTGCTAGGCTTTGCGCCAGTGTCGTGGATAGCGGCCGAGCTGAGAGACCACCCCCTGCGCACCCCCTGTGGTGTCGAGAAAGTGCCACGCCTGCTAGGCTTTGCGCCAGTGTCGTGGATAGCGGCCGAGCTGAGAGACCACCCCCTGCGCACCCCCTGTGGTGTCGAGAAAGTGCCACGCCTGCTAGGCTTTGCGCCAGTGTCGTGGATAGCGGCCGAGCTGAGAGACCACCCCCTGCCCACCCCCTTTGGTGTCGAGAGAGTGCCACGCCTGCTAGGCTTTGCGCCAGTGTCGTGGATAGCGGCCGAGCTGAGAGACCAACCCCTGCGCACCCCCTGTGGTGTCGAGAAAATGCCACGAGCTGTGCTGTGCTGTGCTGAGCTGAGCCGTGCTGGGCTGTGCTGAGCTGTGCTGAGCTGTGCTGTGTGGTGCTGTGTGCTGAGCTGAGCTGAGCTGTGTGCTGTGCTGAGCTGTGCTGTGCTGTGCTGTGCTGTGCTGTGATGTGCTGTGCTGAGCTGAGCTGTGCTGTACGAAGAGTGAGGTGTGTGTCGCGGGTGCGGCGCGGCAGGGAAGAAAACCAGAACCCCTACGAAGCATGTGGGGAATAATTCATGCTTAAAAACAAAACGTAAGAACATACGCGCAAACGAAACGCACGTTGCACGCAATGTCGCGCTCGGGGGCGCAAAATGGGCACTGCAACTCCGCAGCATGCACGAGCAAAATAGCGCTCGCGGCGCTCGCGCTTGGCGCGGATCTCATGCAAATAAGTTCATAAACGACGAAGCTGCGTAACCAAATAATTACCCAGAGTGCGCCAAAAAGCAGGGGCAGCACGGGCAAGAGCCGTAGGCTACGGGCTACGGCTACGGGCCGTAGCCGTCCAAAAGCCGAACAAGCATGGATCTGCCGACCCCTGAGGCGTGTGCGATTCTACGGTGTACCTGTTGACGACATCCACCACAACCACCCTTCCTTGAAAAACACTGTGTTACTCTGGCATTCCTCACCCGACTATTTCTCACCCGGAACCGACCCTGACCCCTACCTGGTCACCACCTCGCCCCGACACGCCCCAACCTTTGGATCCTGTTCTTGGGACCATCTGGCAATTTCTCGCCCGGAAGCGACCCTGACTCCCCACCTGGCCACTACCTCGCCCAGGCACACCCCACCCTCAATGCCACTCTCTGGATCCTTTTCATGGGAAACCCCACTCGACAATTTCTCGCCAAGAAGCGACCCTGACCCCCCACCTGGCCACCACCACCTCGCCCAGGCACACCCCACCAACTAACAATTTCTCGCTCGGAATCGACCCTCCACCCTCTGAACCTCTGTTCCCAGGACCCCGCTCTCGCCCAGAACCGAGCTACGCCCCCCACCGCGCCCTGGCATTCCCCCCACCTCCCAAGAACTTCGTTCTTGCGACGTCCCATCTTACAATTTCTCGTCCGGAATCGATCTACGCCCCCACGGCGCCCCGGCATCCCCCCACCTGCCGGGAGCGCGGTTCTCCGGACCCCCTTCCCTTCCATTTCTCGCCAAGAATCGTCCTGTGCCCCCCCCACGCTCCGGCATCCCCCCACCTCCCGGGCGCTCTGTTCTTGGGATCCCCCACCCTATGACTTCTGGCCCGGATCAGACCTGCGCCCCCCATCACGCCCCAGCATCCTCCCACCTCCCAAGACCACCTCTCGCCGGAACCAACCTATGCGCCCCCCGCCACGCCCTGGCAGCCCCCAACTTCCTGGGAGCTCCGTTCTTGGGACACCCCCCCACTTTCCAACTTCTCGCCCAGAACCGACCTACGCCCCCCACCATGCCCATGCATCCCCCCACCTCACGGGAGCCCCTTCTACAATTCGTGGCCCAGAAACGACATACGCCCCCCACCACGCCCCGGTATCCCACATCTCCCAAAGCTCTGCTCTTGGGAGCCCCCACTCTACGATTTCTAGCTCGGAACCGACCTGCGCCCTCCACCACGCCCCGACACACCCCACCTCCCGCTACAATTCGTGGCCTGGAATCTACCTACGCCCCCCACCTCGCCCCGGCATCATCCCACCTCCTGGGAGCTCCAATCTTGGAACTTCCCACCCTAGAACTTCTGACCTGGAACCGACCTTCGCTCCCCACCACACCCAGGCATCCCCCCCCGCTACAATTTGCGGCCCGGAAACTACTTACCCCCCCCACCTCGCCCCGCCATCCTCCCACCTCCCATGAGCTTCGTTCTAGCCCAGAACCTACCTACGCCCCCCACCACGCCCCGGCATCCCCCCACCTCCCAGGAGCTGTGTTCTTGGGACCCCCCACCCTACAGCTTTTGGCCCGGTACCGAGCTACGCCCCCCACCACGCCCCGGCATCCCCCCACATCCAGGGGGGCTCTGTTCATGATCCCCCCTCGATTTTCTGCGCCCCCCCGCCACGCCCTGGCAGCCCCCCACCTCCCAGGAGCTCTCTTCCTGGGACCCCACCTTCCAATTCGCGGCCCGGAACCGACCTGCGCCACCCGCCGCGCCCTTGCACTCCCCCATCTCCTGGGAGCTATCTTCTTGGGACCCCCCACCCTACAATTTCTCAATCGGAACCGACCTATACCCCCCACCACGCCCCGGCATCCCGCCACCTCCCAGGAGCGCTGTTCTTGGGACCCCCCACCCTTCTCTCGGGGCCTCTTGGTGGATCCTACGAGGCCTCTTGGAAGACCTTTGACCCCCTCTGGGGGCCACCTAGGGGCCTCTTGGGGCTTCTTGGCGCCTCTTGGGAGCTTTTCGGAAGCGGCTTGTCTTGGGGGCGATCTAGAGCGCTCAGGAGCCCATCGGAAGCGAAAAGGCGAGAAGGCATGTTTTAAAGATTTCCGTGAAGTTTGGCAAGTTCTTGGCTTCTCGGAGGCGTCCTGAGGAGACTCTGCTGGAACTGTCTGCAGCGTCTCTTGAGGGGCCCCGAGGCGGACTTGCCGTCTGAGACCCCAGGAGGCCGTCTCGGGGGTGATTCGGGGCCGTCTGGGGCCGCCCGGACGGCTGTCTGATGGCCCTGCGGGGCGACTGCAGGCCCCGACATGCGGGCCCGGCCACCGGCACGCGCACATTTGCGATCCAGGTTCCGGCCTGGGCAACCCCTTGTCCCGGTCCCCCGTTAGAAGCAGTGAACGGAGGTAAGCGAGTCAAGTGGACACTCCAGCAGGAAGCCCAAAAAAACTGGAAGGGGAAGCCACTCAGATAAGAACCCTTGATGGGGTCGGCGGCAGAGGCGGCACTATTCAACAATATCCAGCGTTATGACTCAGCGGTACGAGGCTGGTTGTTCAATGCCGCAAATTCCAATTTTGATTGCGTATACGTTATGCAGTCCGCAAGATTGCATGTGCTGATCGGGTGTCCCGAAACACATTATCCAGCAGTTTGATCCTGATTTGTTGATGTAATGCAATTGACTTCGTCATTCCCAAAAGAATTACCGCAAAACTACGAGCTCGGCAGGTGCGTCTCGACGAACACGGAATCATAAGACAATCAGTACCGGTGAGTGTTCGCCGCACCGTGACGCATGATAAGAAAACCTGTTTTGGCCACGAGACTGGCCTCATTCACCATGGTGAGCTTTCCAATGTTAGTATTTTCCACCTTGACGCCGACCTGTGCAACTGCCCTCGTCACGCTGTTGGAGATGTCATCCCAATTACGGTGTGGGCATTGGATATGGGACCCGTAGATAAGGAATCCAGGGTCTGGAAGCCAGTGGAACTCCAATCGTTGATCGGCCATGGATATCATCGCCGCCCTATTGGATAAGGAATCCTCCAGGGTCCAGCGCCTCCTGGGACTATTCCTTAAGCAACGCCCCCACCATAGTGATATCTCGGCTAGACGCGCTGCGAACGTTGAAGCGAATGTTGAGTGCACGCTCAGACCGTGGTACGACGCCCACGGCCCACCCACGACTGAACATGAACGCGGCATGCATGCTGCTGCTATGCTTCCCAAGCGTGCGCTCGCACTTGCCATCCCCTTTCTGCAGTTGATGCACCACGGGTAAGGCACGGCGTGGTGTCGAGGTTCAAAATCAAGTCTGTGCTCGAACAGTGCTGGGCTACTGTGACCTAGCTTTCGAAAACCATGGCGATTAGAGTATTCACATGAACGTCCACGCATTTAGTTTCGATCCTCACGCACATGCATGGATGTAGCAAGCCCCGTTGCTGCAACGACGTATAAGCAGGTGCCACTGTCCCACGAAGTACGTGCGCAAAATCATCACATGCCCAATTTGCCCACTGTGTCGCATCCCGAAGGCATATCTAATAGTTTGCAACGTCGATGTTCGCAGCATTGTATCCTGCATCGAAACATTGGGAAAACGATGGGGACATTTATACGAGATGCTGCAAGAGCCCTCGACCCTACTGTCTGGTGAATCGAGCTCCTGGTTCGCACCGTACCACGCAACGATTTCTTCTGGCTCCTCATGTTCGATTCCAGCCGGGTCCTGACCCTGACGCAGTGCTGGCACGAGGGCTCCAACAATCAGAAATGTGAAACCATGAATACTGTAGCGCATCATCGCCCAATAGCTCAGGACAAAGGCTCGAAGTACAGGAAGATACTAGTTTGCATCAGCGTGCGCCTTTGAGCCAGAGTGGCCCTTGAGCCAGAATGGCTACGGATGATAATGCCGATAACCTTGCGGTAACGGTGGCTACTCCCACGTTTCGTGAGAGACCAGTTGCTTCTTGGCAAGGCTGCGGGGTGGATCAAGACAGTAAGCAGTTTCGCGACGTGCTGAAGTGTTTGCTGACGTGAAATGTTTGCCATCTGTTCTGGTCAAATTTCCACCAACATTCCGAGTGACACATATTTGTTAGCGGCCCCCTGGAAAACCGTGCACCGGAAGCTTCCCTGGCCCCAGCACCCACCGCATTCCCCCTCCCATGGTCCTGCGCCCACTCGTCCTGCTCCTACTGTAGGCGGCGAGCAGGGGGGGGAAGTGAAAAGGGGAAGGCCTTCTCAGAAGGCGTCGGGGCTTCTCAGAAGCCCTCTGGCCCGCTCACAAGTTTCTGTGTCTTCGGGGAAGGCCTAGAAGACTTCTCAGAAGGCTGAAGACCGTCCGAGCCTTCTGAGAAGGCGCGCCCCCTCTCGTTTCCGCCCCGGGCGCGCCGCCGATACTGGCTCCCGCAGGCTTCGATGACTCGCGTAGGAGTGAAGGCACTGGCGACCCTCCGCATCGCGGCCCATCCAACATGTGGCTTGCCAGGGCCATAACAGGCCCCAGGATGGTGCAGAGGCCCTCCTGGCCACTGCCAGGATGGCGCATGAACCACGCCAGGGACCAGGAGGAGGCCCCGAATGGCCCTGGCCAGGGATGGTGGCTGTGCGTTGGACCTTTGTGCGCATCTGTCGGAGGCGGGATCGGGATCTTCAGGGCGGTCCCTAGAGGTCTCCTAGATGGGGTCGGAATAGATGGGGTCGGAGGATCGCGCCGCATCGTCGATACATCGGTGATGCATTGACGATGCATCGGCAATGCACCAGCGATACATCGTCGACGTCGGCTGTGCATCGGCGACGTCGGCGTGAAGCAAATCGGAATCCGCATCGAGCCGCATCGGCGATGCATCGGCGATGCGGCGCGATCCTCCCGACCCCATCTACTCGGACCCCATCTAGGAGGCCTAGAATCCCTGGTGCCGCAGTGCGGATGGGCACGGAGCCGGGGACAAAGGCAGCCAGGAGGGTTCGCGGGACCGGTGGGCGGCGCCGTTTGCGCAAGGACGCGTCGCCCCTGGTGCCGAGGCAGCGCACCTCACCAGGATCCGCGCCAGACCCGACGACGCCCGAGGGAGCCTGGTGGGCCCTTAGGGGCCCAGCGCGACGCTTTCCGCGGCGAGGTCACATCGACGTCGGCCGAAAGTTCGGCCGACTTGAATCAACTTGCGAGCGACTGCCTGCAGCAGTGCGTCCTGTGGGGGGGGCGACTCCACCTGCTTGAAACAGGCGCCAGAAACAGCCAAGATCTGCTCCATGGGGGGGAGGGGAGGTGGGTGCGAGGGCCGCGCCGATCAGCAAAACGACGAATAAGAAAACGATCACCTTGAGATGTTGGTGTCGGCGCTTCGGGGGGGAAGCGGCGGTCTCGGCTAGATCAGGGGCCCCGCCTGGGCTCCCTCGCCCTCGCCGCCGCGAGCAGCGCCCGCGTCGAGAACTCAGATGCCCGCACGCACATGGACCCCTGCGGGGCCCAGCACCTCCTGAACGGCTTGGGAGGGAGGAGCGGGCTCTCAAGGGCAGCGCTGCGCCGAGAATGTGGAACGGAATTGCTCAGGATAGTGCGGGCTCTGCGGTACAGTGTGAGATGCACCTGCAGCCCGCGGGACCCTCTGCGTAAGCTTGGGAGGTATGTCGCTCCATGGCTGCTGGCCGTGTCTCTCCCTCTGCTCGGTACACATCTGCGACCTGGCTACCCTGGAGCACCTCGACACCGCTGCCAAGCGAAAACAGCTCGACGGCCAGCTTGTTGACTAGCAATACGCGGGCCCCTAACCCTCTGGGAGGGGGCCTAAGTGAGGATGGCCAAAAAGATTAGGGATAGGGGGTCTTTCCAGCACATGTGTCGAACCAAACCGCCCATATCAATGTCCCCAATGCACTGACGGGGACCTAGGTGAGGCCGCGTCTTCACTGTGTTATTAGGGTTAGGGTTTTTTATCTCGATGACTTGTGTTCCACTCAGGGAGCCCGTCAGGGTGACGTGGGACACGATCGAGAGTAAGGGCCTGACCAGGGGTACTAGGTGAGCCGCGTTGTGCTGAGCACCCCGACCGGGGCAAAGACTGACACGGATGTGAAAAGGCAACTCCTGGGAGGTCCTCGTCGGAAAGGCTGAAGGCGATCAGGCCCGATCAAGGGGCCACAGAGCCAGATCAGGCTGAGCCCAGAAGTAAGCCACATCAAATAGTTATCAAGCCAGACTGAGCAGGATTAGGCTGGATCTAGCAGGATTAAGGCGGATAAAATTCGTTTTCGACCAGGGATATACCAACGCCGATTCAGAAGTTAACCTCCCAGGAGTTGCGTCCTGACAGGTGGTCTTCAGGGTCACACCCGAGGTAATAGTTGACCAGTTCTGTGTTCAGCACCCCGAACAGGGTAACAGGAGACGCGGTTGGCGCTGAGAGCCATCCAGCGAGGAAATTCAACACGTTCCCCTACTCATTCTCTCCTGCTTGTGACAGATGGGTTGTTGAATCGCCGTCGACTTTGATGGCATAATACTAATTGGAGTCGCGCTATATTGAAAGTTTCTGGATTGGTCAAGAAGTAGAATGATAACAAGACTTACGGAGACTAAATCACAAGCCTAAGCCACCCGCAGAACTTATCCAGCGACGCGAGGCGAGGAAAAGGAGGAATGTGACGACGATGGAAGCCTTCAAATGATGCTTGTATTATGAGTGCACGGCGACAGCCAGCAGAAGAAGACCGTGTCCAGGCAGGGGATGTGAATCCCACGTACACTATGGACGAAGCGGCCACAATACAGTCCAGGCCTGCACAAATGGCTCAAAACACTTGCGCATCTTTGACCAGAAGATGGAATATGCAGAGCGGGAGGGAACAAAAGCGGGGAGAGGGAGGGTTTCGGGGCTACGGTCTGCTCCAGACAGGTTTCAAGAGCTTCTTCTGGGGCGGGGGGAGGAATAAGGGCTGCTCTGAAAGGGGGAGGCTACGGGCTTCTAGGCTTTCTGCGGCCTGAGGGAGGGGAAGAGCTTTCTGCTTCTTGGGAGTTCTGGTGGGCTCCAGGTGGGAAGTTGAAGCTATGGGAGACGATAGGTAAAGTGGGGGCCCGACCGCGAGAAACCTTTCACAAGAAACCCAACCCTGAGACCCCAGGACGTCCATCGATGTTTGGTGTGGGAGCGTCACGCTTTCCATGGCAAAACCATCGAAACGCAAGAAACCCAGGGCACCCTGGAGGCAAGCAGGGTGTTTCTTGGCATGGGCCTCCACCGTATGGGAGACGAGAGGTAGGGAAGAGAGGACGCGCTGCCCGCACCTTCCACGAAAAACGGGCGACTCGGCCCCACGTCTCGTGGCGGCGCGCGGAGGACATCGGGCGAGGGAGGGTCCCGCAAGACGGCCGTATGGCCTCTCACACATGGGGATCGAAGGAGCCCGGAGAAGGCCTTTATCAGAGAGCAGGAGGTTCCTTAGAATTCGGTGGCAGCTCATGGGAGCCTCCCATTCCATCTTGTCGGCTCTTGCGAAGCGACGCTGATCGACGCTGGTCGACGCTAATCGACGCTAAATCAACGCTAATCGACGCTGGTCGACGCCAAATCGGCGCTATCTCATCGACTCCCAGACGCTAATCGACGCGAGTCGACGCTGAAGACGGAACTCAGACGGTAGGTCAGGCTCCCATGATTCGCTACCGAATGAGAAGTCCCCTCTGCCTTCTGAGAAACCCGCCCCCAAGGCCCCGACCGCCCCGACCCAAACCAGCTCAGAACTCGGCGGGGACCTTCCCGGCCAGCGTTTTCAGAGCCGTGGCCAGCTGTGTCGACGAGAACCTCCAAGACGACAAAAAAAGCCCAAGACGGCAAACGACCACTCCGAGAAACTGCAGAAAATGAACCTGGCGCGACGTCAGTTAGGGGTCTTCTCTCTTCCATGGCAACTCAAAGCAGCTCTGAGCCACGCAAAGCAACGACATGCAATGCAAAGCAATGCTTGATTTTGCTTGGCATTTATCGGCATTGCTTGGAATACTTGCTTGGCATTGCTTGGCATTGCCTGTCATAGGACCGGCCACGGAGCCCAAAGAACAAGATCAGAAAACTCGAGGAATAAGACTGGGGACCCCGAGAAAGGAAGGCAATGCCGAGGCCCGCCTCTGAATTTGAGGAGGCACCCACCAGTTCTTCATAGAACTCGTCGGCCTGCGGCGAGTTGAGCCCAACAAGCGGTCAAGCAATCGGCGGCACGCACCCATTGAAAATGGGGCGCAGGCAGGAGAAGTGGTTCTTCACAAAACCGATAAACAAACCCTTAGGCAGAGCCTCATTGGGGAAAAATTGCGAGGAGGAGGAGGAGAAGGAGGAGGAGGAGAAGGGGGGGGAGGAGGAGAAGGGGGGAAAGGAGGAGAAGGAGAAGGGGGCAGAGGAGGAGGAGTGAGGAGGAGGAGGAGGAGGAAGAGGAGGAGGGAGGAGGAGGAGGAGGAGGAGGACGAGGAGGAGGAGGAGGAGGAGGAGGAAGACGACAGAACGTCGCCAGCGTTGTCGACCTAGGCCCTGCCCCCCCGTCCGCGCGCCGCCGAGAATCTGATGCCCGGGCAGTGCCACCACTCGAGGGGAATCGCCACCTCCATGAGTGGGTGGGGGGCCACAGAGGATGCACGCGCCCAGCTAGTGCATGAATACGGCCCCCAATCCGCGAGACCAACCTCCTGATACGAACCTTCGAAATCGGCATGGACTCATATACGTGTACGACTTCTTTCGCTCCTGACTGAGAAGGAGGACTTCCCAAGCTGGAAGGGCCTCCCTGGTAGGGTCGGTCCGAGCACACGAGGTCGGATTATCGCACCGCATCGCCGATGCATCGGCGATGCAGCGCGATCCTCCGACCCCATTTGCGCCGGCCCTGTTTAGGAGGCACTTACCCCTGAACCTCTAAAGACGCCCAAGATCGTCCAAAGGCATCCTCCGTCCTCGGCCCCCAGACGTGGCAACTGCCCTTGGCACTGCCCTTGGCATTGATGGCGATCCCCCCTTGGCACTGCCCGATGAGCATCGGCCTTCGCGCCGTGCTCGAATGCCGCGGGGAGCCCGGGGGACGGCCCAACTCCGCTCCGTCGCATAAAAAGTTAAATCGGCCCAGGGGTGGCCGTCGAAGTGGGAGAAGAAGAGGAGGAGAGTGGAGAGGAGGAGGAGGAGGAGGAGCAGGAGGAAGAGAAGAACGAGGAGAAGGAAGAGGAAGAGGAGGAAGAGGAGGAAGAGGAGGAAGAGGAGGAGGAGGGGGAGGAGAGAGGAGAGAGGAGGAGAGAGGACAGATGCAAGCTAAGCACGCTCACGCCATACCTGACATCCTGCCCCTCCCACCCATCCGTTCAAATTGCACTGGCTTGTCTTTCGATCCACCGACGGGTGTCGTAGCGGACCTGGAAATCCCAAAAACGAACGATGCCATCGTCTGATGCGCCACCCGAAAGGAAAGCTTTGCACTTTGGATAAGGAGGAGGAGGCGGAGGAGGAGGCGTATGAACAAGAGAATGAGCAGAATGATAAGGAGGAGGAGGAAGAGGAGGAGGAGGAGCCCGTCTGCGCCCACGGGGGAATCGCCGCCGAGGAAAGACCCTCGGCAGAGCGAAGAGTGAGTTTCGGGGAGTGCATGGTTAGAGCCTTTCACCCTGGGGAAAAGTTGACCTCCTTCTCTCAGTGCTCATGGTTATCGTATGACCCCCCTTCTCAACCCCCCAGGAAATTAAAATCATGTTTGAAGGCCGATTGTGGATCTCAGGCTCTAGTTTCACAGGCCCCTAATACATCGTGGTGTGAAGCCAGCACAGATCCGTCAGTGGGGATCCATAGATGTCGATCTGATGGCCAGATGAGGAGGAGTGAGGAGGATCACGGTCGGGGGGAGACGACACGTGACCAGGCCAGCCAATTCGATTCTGAGTTTGACTCGCAGTTCGATGCCCATGAGCTCGGACCACTTTTGTCAAGTGTGGAGGTTGAGGACCAGCGCCCTTGTTACAGTGAGGAAGTGCTGGGGTCGTCGCCACATGTTTCTTTGTCGGTCAAGGGGGTAGGGGCCATGGGCCATATGTCCCCTCCCCACTGTTTTGAAGCTAGACCTGATCAATCAGGATGTTCCGAGGAGCATGCGGGTAGCAGTGAGCCCGCAACCTTGCCTCCTTCTTCTCCTACGCAATTATGGTGTCACTTTGAGCGAGGACCGACCATCCTGGAACTTGTCACCTCCGTGGCGGCGATGTCTTGGGTCTTCGGGCTCCCCCAGGATTTACCAGTGGAATCTTCGTGGGCTCTAGGGCTCTGTCCTCCGAGGGTTTCCGACTGGGACGAGGTTTCATACTTCACCGATGGTTCCTTGCGCCATGGGGACGACGCTTCTGGGGCCTGGGCTGCGGTCCGAATCGGCACCGATCACTTGGGGTGCTCGTTCCAGGGTGCGTGGGCGGCCCCCTTTTTGAGCTCCTTTCTGACCCCGCGTGGACGGGGTGGGCTGGACAGCACGGATGTCGAGTGCGCGGCCGTCGTCTGGGTCTTGATGGCAATCATCAGCGACCAGCAGCACCCGCCAGCGGTCATTCACACGGACTCTCAGAACGTGTGCGACTATGTCTACGGCGCTGCTACGGTCTCGGAAAATAACAAAATTGCTTGCATGCTTTTGATCATGTTTGACCTAGCTTTGGCCCGTGCCAAGGAGAGATGGCCCTCACATGACACCCCCCCTTTGAGGCTTTGCCATGTTAAGGGGCACGAGGGGCACCCGTGGAACTCCCTAGCAGACCACCTTGCGGATCTCGTGGGCACTGAGCTATGGGGGCCTTGCTTCGTTCCCCCCCTGTGGGCCGAGGCCACTAAGCATGGGCCTGCCCGCGAGTGGGAGTGGTTGGAGCGCCCGGCTGTGGGTTTGGCCCAGGCGTACCCCACCCTCTCAGATCAAGGTTTGTGTGCGCCCCCAGTTTCGACTGAGGCTTCTGACGACCTTGGACATAGGCCCCCGCTCAAGTCCTCCAAGGGATCCCATGCGTTGCGCCTCAAGGTGGCCACCTTCAATGCCAAGAGTGCAGCTGTTGCCGAGCGTCGCGGCAGAAAGGGCAAACTCCGCTTCGCCCGCAATTTGGCTATCAAAACCCAGTTTGACCAGGAGGGTGTTCTGCTGGCTGGGGTCCAAGAGGCCAGGAACCCTCAGGGCGCCTACTCCTCTGGTGCGTATGTTGTGCTTTCTTCGGGGCACGCGTCTCACGAGCTTGGGTGTGAGCTGTGGGCTAATACTAGGATCTCGTACGGCACTTGCAGGGGGAAGCCCCTTTTCTTTGAGAAAAGGCACTTTCGTGTTATATCCGCCAGCCCCCGATGGCTTCTTGTGGCCTTGAGCGCGCCTGGGCTGGTCTGTAATTTGTTGGTTGGGCACGCTCCCCACTCCGGCGCTGGGGCCTCTGAGAGGGCCGCATTCTGGGACTCGCTCCAGGAGCTGCATGATAAGTGGGGGGCCGATTTGTGTTTCCTGGACGCCAACGGCAGGGTGGGTGACTTGCCTTCGGACGCCGTCGGGAGTGCCGGCTTTGTTCAGGAACAGGATGAAGGGGGAGAGCACTTACACACCTTCCTGCTCGCCTCCGAGCACAAAGCGGTTAACACTTGGCTTGGTAGTCCAGACGACTGGACTTGGCAGTCGCCACAGGGGTTGAGGCATCGGATCGACTATGTCTCAGCGAAGACATGGCTTGCCAACCACGCCCTCACATCCGACGCGTTTCGCGACATTGATAAGCTTGCGACACATGTTGACCACCAGCCTGCGATCGCTACTTTTGCTTGGCAGGCCGTTCAGGTCCGCCAAATTTCGTCAGGAAAGAAGCTCGACCGAGAGGCTTTCAAGGACCCTCAGAAGCTCGGGGTTTTCAAGGAAGAACTTCGAGGGCTCTCTGTTGTCCCCTGGCAGGTCCCTGTCTCCGAGCATCATGTTTGTGTGTCCACGGGGGTCATGAGGGCAGCGGCGAAGGCCTTTGGAGTCGCCCCTCGCCGACCCAGACAGCCTTATGTTTCACAGGCCTCGGTTGACCTGATCACCGCTCGTCGGGGGGCCACCAGAGTCTTGAAAAAAGTTGCCCCCTTTCTGGATCAGCAAGGGCCCTTGTATGGCGACGTGCTTTCCCACTTTTGCGGCCGCTGGTTATCTGGGGACATCCTTGGGCTTGCCATGCAAGAGGGGGCGCAATTCTGGAGGCCCCACTATGATCTTCTGGCCCAGGTGTTCCAAGGGTGGGCCTCTGGTAGGCTCTGTTGCTATGCCATGGTTTTCGGGCTTCAGCGTTTTCTGATAGATACTGAGCAGCTTGTGGCCAATGCTCTGGAGCAAGACAGGCGCAATCACCTGGAGGCCCAGGCTGACACGATCGTTGAAGCAAGGGATTTTGGGCTTCCCCGCTCGGAGTGGTCGAAGACCAAGGTTTTGACGCAGTTTGGAGGTCGTCCTCCGAAGATTCCCACCACTTTCCCCTATTCGACCACCGAAGACGGGACGGCGCTTTGTACGGAATCCGACGTGGCCAACAACCTTCAGCAGCATTTTGCCAAAGTTGAGTGTGGCAAGTTCGCGGATGCTGAAGGGATCCAAAGCCACTATAATGACATGCCCCCACTCCTTTCTGATGAGGCTCCTCGGGACCTGGAGCTCTTTGTCTCGAAGGTTGGGTTGTAATCTTTGATGAGGGGTATCCAAGGAGGGAGGGCCCCTGGCCCTGATGGCTTTCCCCCCGACCTGCTCTAGCTTGCCCCCCTCGAGCTGGTGGAAGTCATTCACCCCCTCTTGACCAAGGTCACCATGACCTCTAGAGAACCCCTGGCCTTTAAAGACGGGCGCGTTGGCACTTTCTTCAAGGGGAAAGGCTTGATTGCCTTGGCCGCCAACCAGCGCAGCATTTTGATGACGAACACGATATGTAAGATCCATCACCGGCATCTCAGAAGCCTCTCCCTGGACTATCTGTATGCTGCGCTGTTGGCCCAGCAATGTGGGGGGTTACCTGGTAGATCGTGCGACATTGCCGCGCATTTTGTTAAGGCCTTCTGGGCGGCCGCCGAAGCGCGGGGGGCTTCGTGCGGGTCCCTGTTTTGTGATCTTACGGCGGCTTTCTACTCCACCATTCGGCAGCTGGTGTATGATTTACCAGGTGAGGGGGAGTTGCTCAGTGAAGCCTTGGAAGAACTCCCTGTGCCTCCGATTTTGGCGGCTGGAGTTCGTGCCCAGTTGCTCTCCGGCCACATCTTTGATCAGACGATCGAGAAGCCCCACCTCGTCGCCTTACTTCGGGAGGCCCAGAGGGGGGCGTTCTGGGCTGTGGGGGGTGCTGATGGATATGTCATTCCCCGCACTGGTTGCCGTCCCGGCACTGTGATGGCGACTGACGTGTTTAACGTTGCTTTCGCTAGTGTTCAAGCGGAGATTGAAGCTGAGATGGAAATGAGAGAGATTCGTTGGCTTCCCACCCCCACTGTGCGAGTTTTCTCCTCGGCTGTCGACCCCGATGAAGTGTGTGCTTCAGTTTCGTTTGTCGACGACCTGACCCCCTCCGTGGCCTCTCCCGAGCCAGCAGAACTCCTGCAGATGTTAAGTGAACTCATCGATATTGTTTTCGCGGTTTGTGCCCGGCACGGGCTGGCCTTGAACCCTACCAAGACCAAGATAATGTTGAGATTTCGAGGGGGGGGCTCCCAGGCTGCCCATCGGGAGGTGTTCGATCGGCCCGAGCCCTTCTTAGTCTCCCCCCAGTGGAAAGTCAAGGTCGCCGTCGTGCGCTCCCACAAGTGCCTGGGGGTAATTCTGGCTGACACTGGATCTGAAGGGTTGGAGATTTCTGCGCGTTCCATGTCTGCTCGGACCGCTGTCAGGCCCATCAAGGCTACCGTCGCTCCTCGCAAGTCCCTTCCCCTCCGCGCCAAACTCTTGTACACGGAAGCCTTCGGATCCAGCAGATGCTTCTATGCCTCGTGTTTGTGGCGCCCCATGCCACAGGCCGTTCAATCTAGAGTGCGGTGTTGCCACGAGTTCTTGTATCGTTGTGCGCTTGGACTTCCTGCCAGCAACTCGCCTGAGCACCATCTTTCGTACTGGGATGTTTTAGCACGTGCCGATCGGCTTCCCTGGGATGCTGTTGTTCA